CAGCATTGACTGTCTGGGCCAGATGCGCGCCAGCGGAAACGGGCGGCTGGACTCCCATGCGAGCCTCGCTAGCTGGATGCAGCCCTATCCCTAGACCGAGACGACTAAGCGGATCCACACTGTGAGAATCGGTCTGACTCTCCGACAAGGACGGCAGTGAAGCAAGAGACATGGACAAATGGTCCACAGAAGCTTCTCCAGCCCTCGATATCGATGGAGAAGGTGGCAGGTTGAGATCATTGGCCATCCTAACTGCGGTTGGCATTCGTTGGAGCCGAATCGCCTCGCCCAGTGGAGCAGCTAAGTGGGCTGCTCCAGCCGGCGCTGCACCACTCAGCGAAGCTTGCGCACTTCTGGGCGAAGCCAAAGTCTGGCTCCGAACGCGGGATCTGACGTAGTCGCTTGGCGCGTTGAGAGGTGATTGCGCTTGCATCGAGGAAGACAGCTTGGCTTTGGATGCGCTCGACGGCATCTGAAGAGACGAAGGAGGAAGCGGCGCTGTAGGCGATATTCTTGAGTCTTCAGATTCAGGCGACCCTGACGAGGCGCCGGCATGACTGGAAAAAGGAATGGGAGCCCTTGGGGAAGTCGCCGGCATTTGCATCGAAGGATAGGAGGTAGCTAGCGCACGAGTGTCCGGCATGACGTTGAGCAGATCGAGACGCTTATTCGTCATTCGCAACGAGCCGCTAGGCGTTGAAGGAAGCGACGCCATTCGCGGAGACGTAGAGGCCGATGCGTGCGAAGGCGAAGAGTGAGTCGCCGCTACTGAGCCAGCCACGGTTACAGCAGAGGATGGCGGCGTACCGTCGCTGGGGGTTGCGGTGGCGGAGGCGATTGCGGCGGCCAAGTCGTGCGGAGCTGCGGAAGGTGTTCGCGGAATGCTAGCATCTCCGGCGCGAATCGCTGCGACCAAATTTGGATCTACGCCGTCGGGTCCACCGACTGCCGCAGCCACGTCGCTTCCGAGCAAAGCGCCGCCCAGAGATCGAGCCCTTCTATGCGCGTTGGCAGACAGGTTCGCAGCTGATGATCTTCTTCGTCGAGTGCCCGCAATACCTCCGGACACTAGTGGCTTCGAGCTTTCTCCCGCATGCATTGTATGCCTCGGATCCCACGCAGAAGGCGGGGCGGAAGATCCGCTGTCTTTGTGATGCTGGGGGTTCGAAGGAGACGGCAGGCCAAGACCGAGGTTGTTAGGGTCTTCGCCCTTCGCAGGCGCAGCGACTCTGGAGGTGGCACCACTGGATTGTATCGTTCTGGCTCTCTGAACGTGTCCAGCCCCCGGTTCAGACAGCTCGGGAGCGGGCGGTACTTCGGAGCTGCGCGTGGGCGCGCTTGCCTTCCGGGGAACGATGGCGGGTGGTCCCATCGGCGCGCCAGGGGATAGAGCGCTCTTTCTGCGGGCAGGCCTCGAAAGCGAGCCAGGGGTTGCATCTGGAGACGTCGAAATGGAGCTAGGTGCAGATCCTGTCGTGCCAAAGGCAATGCCGCTCGCGGCCCGCGACGCGAGTGGCGCATTTGAAGAGAGGCCCTGGATCGGCTGCCAATCACGGGCATGAGCCATCAACTTTGCTTTCGCACTGGCTGACCTCTCACGCTTGGGAGAGGCAGGAGTGCTGTTCAAATCGGCCAGAGCATCATCTTGCTGCTCATTGGTCGCCAGAGACTCTCGGAAGTCGGCCTCTTGGGATGGTATCCTTGGCGAAGTGGACTCGACCGCATGATCTAGGTCCAAGTCATCTGCGTGCTCGCTGGGCAAGATGGAGGCATATGCCAACGGACTGGAAAACGAGGGGGTGGTATCCAGCGGTGCTCTGGAGGTCTTGCTGTGACCCAACGAGCTCGACGCCGTCGGTCCTTGGCTGGTCATGACTGGCGCTGCGAGAGGTGCTGACAGTGGTGAAGAAGAGCCTACAACCGGAGGCCCCAAG